GGTCGACCGCGATCGCGAGCCGCCTCGCGCGACCTGCGGTTTCCGTTTCGATCGTAAAACACGCGGCCGGGCCGAACCGCGGTTGCATTATTCGCGAAGCGACCCGGACGTTTACGCGGAGTTCCTAATGGCGCGGCGCAATCTTCGCTGAATACTCCGGTTGTTCCGCGGAATTAGCGGCGCGAGAAAGGCGCGCAATTGCGAGGCCACTCGCAAACAGAACCGAAGCGGTAAACACTTGAAATTCTGACGCAGAGGCGCGACTGACAAAGAACTTCCCCGACGAAAGAAGTTTACTGTGCCGCCGCGGAGAGCGTAAGAGAACCGGCAACGAAGGTTGAGTAATTCTTTCCTGGCGGTCGTTTCTTCTTTGAGGTGCAGATTCCGCGGGGAACGCGGCGAGAAAAGTTTGCCGCGAGTCTGATTCGACGTTGGAAGGCGGGAGAGGGTTAACAGGCTAAGAGACGGTATCGCCTGAGACGATCTGTAAGACGGAGGAAACGGTGGATCGCGATCGAACGCTTACCTTGAGATAGGACCCGTAATACTTGGTGACGTACGGGCTGTCGCACTGTGACAGCACCATGATCTCCTGTTGTATATCTTCGATCTCATCCTCCGCCTCCTCGAGATCGATGATCTTGATGGCAACCACTTGCTGGGTCCTATTGTCAATCCCTTTGAACACCTCGCCGAAGCTACCCTTCCCGATCCGTTCTTGTTTCGTGAATATCAGCTCGGGATCCACCTTCTGTAACAGCGGAACAAAGTTGCCTCGTTTTAGTCGGCGGTCTGTCGTCGGGAGTTAACGGCGAACGACGACAGGCGGAGACGGGGGGAGGCTCTCGCCGAGATTTTCCGAGGGACGGGGGTGGTGGTTTTTGGCAAATCTCGCGGACACCGGCCGCAACAGTGAAAGTTTCCGGGGACTTTAACGGTGGACCGAGTTCGCGATTGCGGTAGTTTTAACGAATTCTCGCGGGCACTCGGCTTTTGGCAAACTTCGCGAGGAACGGGGACCGTCGAGCTTTCAGCGCGCTGGAAGACGCGTATTCCTGACGGCTGTCGCCTGTGTTCTTCTCCGTTACGAGCGGCTCTCGTTCCGTGTCCTCCGGGTACGCGCGGGACGCGAGGAGAGACGTGTAACGAGAATGGCACCGCGTTTTTGTTCGCGAAATCACTTGCTGGCAGCTGCCAGCTGTATCTCCGACGAAGTTCTTCGTCGGACATGCTGACGTTAAGCTAACTGAAAGCAATTATATCTGGGAAGCGTAAGGTATGCCGTTAACTAAGTTTCAGAACAGATTTTTTCGCAGTGTAAGTCCTCTGAGATGACGGAGATATTGTCGGACTTATGTTTGAACGGGCGCATCGCTGTTTGGTCGAAGCGATGGTAAAAAAGCTCGGTCGATCGCGAGCTCGAGTCCCGTCGAGATAAAATTAAGCGACGCGTCATCTTCGAGAGGATCCGAGATTCGCGAGGCGGATCCGCGCGGGACTTTCTTCGACCGTCCGTCCTTCGGAAGCTAATAAATGCAGTTATGCCCGGCCCCCAGAAATGCAGTTCTCCTTGGCTCCTTTCTAACTGATGACACGTGACGTCATAGCGGGTAGCGGATGAAAGTCTATAATCGATCGATCGCACCCGTTCTCTTGATTAGGCTCGATGCAATCGGCGCGCGGCTGCCTCGTCGCGATTGCGTAACCGCAACGGTTGCACATCGGGACGAAACGCGGCTCTTTCTCACGGTTGTTTCGTTCACGCCGGCTGCCAGCTGACACGTATCGAGCCGTTAGCCGATAAATAATAACAATAAATACGAGAGGTGTTACACCGAGCTACGATATAGAGCAGCCGCTTGTCAACCCGTGGATTAATTATCGCTTCGCGCGGCTTACACCTTTGAGAATCATTCTCGCGTTCGAAACAACGGTCCTAGCTTTACATGATTCTACGTTCTTCCGACAACCTAGTTTAAATAACATACAGTCCAATCAGACTCGAGTCTTATTTTAATCCTCGTTGCTTTAAGACGTTGACTATCCTATATTTTATGTAATGAAAATGAAATGAATTCTATAGACATTGTTATTAGAAATGACAAACATTGTATTTAGGAACTCAATAACTTTCAGTTTCATTTTGTAGACGATTCGCCCTTTTTAGCGTCAGTACTTGGGGGCCTGAGAGATAGACCAGGCCCATTGACAAATTTATGACCGAGGTGACCACCAGGACCTGGGTCACGTACGCCCTCGTCTGAAGAGGTTTCCTTCGTAGAAAAGCGTTGAGGAAAAGTTAGTTAGTCGCCGTTCCTCGTTAGAGCCACATCGCGTAATAAATATATTTAACCTGACTACGGACTTAGTTTTTATTTTAGTAGCCCTACAATTTTTATGATATTTTCTTTAGATTTATTGGATTGAAGAAAATATTATTGAGCACACCGTCACCAAATAAGCGCTGGTAGCGAACAATAGGCAACCGGAATGCTTCGGGACACATTATTTCGTTAAACTCGACGGTAAAATAATTAACAAGAAGCAAGGGGAGAGGGTCACGGATAGTCGGATGGAAAGCAGACCGCTAAAAGCGCGGTGAAATAAAATCGATACCCTGCAAATTCATCGAGGCGTTGAGACGCTCTCGAACGGCGGCGACAGTGACGGCGCGAGGAAATTTGCAAAGCAGATTTCCCGCATTTTCGTCGGCCGGCTGGGTCGCCGCCGCTTTTCCCTCGCTCCCTTTTATCTGCAATCTACCCGGCCGCTGATACGAGACTCCTGTCCGCGTTACTTTCCGCGCGGAGCTCGCAAACACCGTAGGATCCCGAAAAAAACCGTAGAAAATCGCGCGACCGCCCTGTTTATCGACGTTCCCGTCTCTCGACGGGACTCCACCTTCCACCCGGCATTAGGGGAACGAATTTCCTTCACGAATGAGCGTTATCGTTCCACGATTCCACTAAGCAGAAACTTCCGACCCACGAAACTTAGGGAAGCCGATCCCTCCTCCAGAATCGAAGAGTAATCGGCAGAAGTTGCGGCGCCAATTAATCGAGCAATCGATCAAACACCTACCCGACAACTCCGACTACATCCCCGAGAACCATACTTCCCACCGCAGGAACATTTTTCCTCCGACGTTCCTCGGTCAAACGGATTATCAGAATCCATCAACGGAACTTCGCTCGCGCGGAGTGTTCCACTCGGCCAACTGAAATACTGGATCCAGTCTTCCCCCTGCTTAACTTTCCGATCGCGTTCTCGCGGAGGAGCGACCAGCGAGAATCAATTGGCCCGAAAACAGGGTCGAAAAAAGAAAGCCGCGGAAATGGTTGGCGGAGGGACCGGCCGGAGATGGAAACGGGGACGGCGAGAAGAAGGGTGCGAGTAAGACGGGACAAAAGAAAAATTAGAGCGAGCGTTCCCGGGTCGGCCTCGATTTCCTCGCCGTTTTTTCCCGGCGTAAACCGCTGTCGTTACGGCGATTAGAGCCGGCCGTTACTCGCGTTTCCGGGTGCCAAGGGTGAAGATGAAAAACCGGGGGGGCTCGCGGGGCGAGAGGGGCGGGAGAATTGGCTGCGCTTGCAGCGGCGGCGGGGAGGAACGGGGAGCGAGTCGTGTGATGTTGGTGCAAAGTCGAGAGGCGGCAGGAACATCTTAGCCCCTTTTCCCGTCTGGTTGCCGGGCGTGCTGCATGAAACTCACGACACAAATTATAATTAGCGGGTGTCAGCGGCACAGAGGACGGGAGTGAGCCGGCACGTAGGTGGCTAAAGTACCGACAAGGGACGCTGAAGAGCGCCGGCTGCCTCCGGTGCGACGGTTCTTCTTGATTTTCACGGGATCCCGATGGCGCCGCCCGATAGCCGCATAATCAAAGGATAAACAGGCTCCCGGCTTTTCCTTCGAATCGCTTGATCAAAAGGAATCCCTCAGCCTCGCGATCCGCAGGATTCCAGGCTCCACCGAGTCAGTATTAATTCTGTAATTCGCCCGGCCGGCGAGGTCTCTCCGCCGTTCGCCGGGTAATGGACCGCTAAAGCGCCGGCAAAAACTGTGATTAAAAGTTCCCGCGGCCTCTCCTCGTCTCTGAGGCTCGCGCGGAGATATCGAAGTTTCGCGGGCACCTATAACCTCGTTGTTTCATTTATCCGCCCTCCATCGCGCGTCCCCCGCGCGCGCGAAGTTTCAGCGGGTGGAACGGAATTAGGCGCTGCGCTTAGCTAGATAAGCATCCCCTTGATACTCCGAACGGCTTCTTCCACCCCTTTTTCGCCGGGAATTTATCCCGCGCTTCGTATGGATGAAGTTTACGACGCGACGCCCCCTTTTTTCTTTTAATTCGCAGTCCGGGTTTACGGCTGACGAGCTGCCGCTGCTGGTTTGGCGTGGTCGCTGATAGCGGTTGGAACTGGTTGTAATTGTCCTGGTGCTTGTAGAACGATGTTCTTGGTAATATCAAATCGTTGATAGTTGTTACCAATTAACCCTAATCGTGCCACGTGTTTTTATAACGAATCATACCGCGACGTGACTTTGTCGCTTATGAGAATAAGGGGAATAATTAAAACGTTATTGTTTTCGTTTATCAGGCACAAATCTTAAGAGCCCAACACTTGGAAATGCAATATGAAATAATCAGAGAATTTAAGTAAAACATTCAAATGTGAGTCAAAGTCACATCGTCTTCTGATTAGGGTTAATAAGGAAACAAATACAAATTGAAAACAAAGATCAATATGTAAGAGTTTCTAATGTCATATCAAAACGAAAGGTGACAGAGTCGTCTCCCGACTGCGGAAACATAAAGTTCGTCGCAGCTTCTCGCACCGCGAGGTCCGCTCGGCCATCGCGGTCGGGCGGCACGAACAATTCGGAATCCTTTTAACTTAATAAACCGCGGGGCCAGTGAATTATACCAGCGCGTGGTCGGACAATTAGCGGGTAAGTTGGTCGGCAGCAGTGGCCCGTTGTTTCCCGGCTCGTCGGCCGGTGATTCTGTTACGGTGAGCCACTGGCGAGAGTAACCGGAATGCTGATAGACAAGTTGCCCGCTCGAAAACTGAATTATCCGACGTCGGCCCCGCGTCGAAAGGCTCGCGCGCTCCGCGTTACGCTCTGCATGGCCGCCGACCCAGTTACAGCCGCGCTCTCGATGTTATATAATTGACAGAGCGATACCGCGATCGAGCAATTAATGCCTCGAGCCTCGGGGTCCCATTGTGTGAAATCACTACCGGGCACGGTGACCTATAAAACTAGGCCGGCGAACGTTCGTTTTCGCGCCGAGCCGGACGGGTTTCGCGCGAGACGAAAGAGAAGAAGAGGAACGGGCAGAGGAGAGAGAGAGGGAGAGAGAGAGGAAGAGGAGGAGGAGAGAAAAAAAGAGCAGCCCGGACGTTTACGCGCGACCGGGAATAAATAATGGGCCAATAAATGTTAACGGTACTCGGATATTTTCACGTGAACCGCGCTTGGAGGGGATACAATGTTGTGGTCTGATTGGACGGGGAGCACTTCGGCACCCGGTAGCCGCGCGTGTTAATTGGAAATCGAGTCTTCGCGCTGTTCCTCGACGGCGACCCGCCTCGGAACACGCGGACGTGTCCAAACAGGCGCATATATCTTTGCGCCGCGTCGCTGCCAACTTCCTTACGCTGCCTTCGGAGGTTTCGCAACGTGACGCGTCTATTTTAGCGAGCAGCGCGTCGAAGCCCGGCTCACGGGCAATTTGTTCTCGAGAAC